AAACCAGAGGTCAGAGGCCTTGGGAACATGCTGGACTGGAGACATCTGCTCTTGGACTAGCGAGGAACAGGCAGGAGGTCACTGCAGGCCAAGCCACACCGCTGCTCTTCCTAGCTCGGTGCCTGAGGCAGGAGATGCTCTTACATAGGAGAGGGCATAAGGTGGGCAGCGGGCCCCGGATTTTGCACTTAGGGCTGAAAGCAATGACCAGAATGGATGGAGGAGGTTCAAGCTGTCTCTCCCCAGCTGGAAATCCAGCACTGCTGCAGTTTTTCTAAGGCTGCAGAGTGAGGAGCCTTGTGCTCTCTTGCTGCATGGCTGCAGGGATCAGGGTGCTGTGGCACAGAAGCTGCAGGCGGCTCCTACCAGGAACACTGGGCAGCGAGGTGGTGTCCTGCGGGCATCGTGGTGCTGTGTGTCCCGTCTGATGCAGCAGTGTGGAGATACCAGGGGACTGAGCCGCTCTGGGGGCAGGTGCTAATGTATTGGAAAGTATCTGGGGAGTGTTCTCCTCTTGGTGGATTTATCTTCTCTTTGAGGGAGGACTTTGAGTGCCCTTTCTAGGCTGTGTTGCCTCACACAACTCACGGACGAGAGACTAGAGCAGGGCCTGGAGGCCTGTGGCCTGAGCGGCTGCCCGTTTCTCCAAGAGGAGCCTGGCATTGGTGATTTATTGGCAAACTTGGCTGTCCTGTGGCCTGGTCCCCTGGCCACAGGATTGTCCTGTGGGGACAAAAAGGGGACAGATGTCTTATTTAGGTGTCAGACTGCAGGATCCTGTGTGCCTGCACATCCACGTGCACGTGTGGCTGGAGACGCCTCCCTGGCTGCGGGCTGGCCTTGTCCGAGGGCTGGTTTGCAGCACGGGGTGGGCAGGGAATAGGGTCCATGGCTGAGGGGCAGGCTGGGCCACCTGACCATCCTTGTGACCATGCAGGGGACATGCTGCGCTTACGCACCGTGCTGGAGGCCATCCAGAAGAACATCCACTCCTCCTCCTTGATCTTCAAGCTGGCCCAGGACGCGTTCAAGATCGCCACGCCGGCTGACAGCAACTCGGACACGACGATGCTCAAACTGGC